TATTTTACAGGAAAAAATGAAATGCTTATATAGCGCGAATCATCCAGTGAAGAAGGTTTACATTGAAGGGATGATCAACATATCAAGAGTAGGACTGTATTCATTAAAAAGTCGAAATGTCTAGCTATCAAGGTTCTTGAGATCCAATTAGGGATGCCACTTTAAGATGTATTAACGGTGCAACGTTGATCTGAAGTAGCCATAAGATCTTCAGAACAAAAGAGCTTGAATCACATAAAAATAAGAACTATTAATCTTCAGATTTGATGTTCGTATCATCAAGTGTTGATAATCATTGTAAATTTTAGGAGAATGATCTGTATGTTAAGTACCAACTATATTGAAATTTCTTTCAAATTTTATAGATATCGTTAAAAGGGTAAAAGGTTATAAACTACTGCTTGAAATTTCAAAATACTTACGCTTCGATCTGTTTTCAACACGTCTCTGCAATTTTTTTCACTGCAGTTACTCTCTTGCAACTCTGACCAAAAAAGTTTGAGATAGTTGTTTTAGAATAATCTGCTGATGATCGTAGTTGTTGATCTAGAAATACAAACAAAAAATAATGCAGTCGTTATCGTTTTTATCTCTCTTCTTCTTTGTACAGGTAGTGTATGATGTTTTTGTTCGTACATCAAATTGTCAGAAAAAGAAAGTCGAAACATGTATTAAACAAGTTACACAAGTACAGGTATATAAAAAAAACTATTTTTCTCTCTGCATTTCATATCTATGTAGGATTGTAAGAAAATGTGTGCGTGTATATATATATCTTGGTGGAATCTGGAGCTAATAAAGCTATCAATACTCTCATACTCTCCTTCAGATATAGCGGAAAACAGTGACCCATTAACACAGAACTGAATCAGAGAAGATGTAATAACAAAAAAAGATGTAATAAACAGTATACAGGACTTATCTTCTATACTGTTCTTAGGATGGATTCAGATGAGAGAAAAATTAGAGTTTGATCGTTTGCTCTTTCATTTCTTACCTTCTAATTTCAATAGGTATTTGACTTAATTCATGGCAAGATATTGGATCGTTCCCAATTTCTGTATTATTCAATGTTAATATAACTTACTTTTACAACTGCTCACGTCAAGTTTTAATAGGACTCTGTGGTTGGCAAGCGGAAATCGATTTTGAACAACTGTTTCTCGCAGAAGTGGTAGAAAATTTTCCAATTTTATCCTTTTTTTAGTGATCAAACGAAAATAATTTTCAAAAACATTGATGAATGAAGCGAGTTTTCTTCAATTATTTAGAAGCACAAAGCATACTACTAAATTAGGGCAACAAAATTGTTAGCTTTAAGCTAGCGACTTTCTTTAGCCCTTTCACTCCCATAGTAACAAAAGTGCTACACATGTTTTATAATTATTTTTCATAACATAATTTATAAAAATTAGTACATAATCTCTTGGAATGAAGCAATGGAGAATCAGCCAATTAACAGCAGATGCATTTATGTGACGCGTTTTTTGCTTCGTAACACCTACGAAACAAGATTAACCTTTCTAGTTTTTCTTTTTAAGTAAAAAATGTCTATCAAACGTATGTGCTATCCGAACTAATCTTATTACTAGATTCAGCGTAATGAATTACGTATGTTTCATGCGATTTCTAGGTTACCCCATCCCTTGTACTAAAATGTAGAAAAAAAAGAGACGAAATTGCTGAAGTTGATATTCTTGCTTCTCTCTCTCTCTCGGGATCTCTGCATAAAAATATATATTAAGCAACAAGCGTTAAAGTCGAGAGTACAATTGAAATATCGACAGTTTTCAACTTTCTCCCTTGTGCGATAATGTCAAGCGAGTAATGTTAATTTGTTTTTTTGTGGTGGAGTAAAATAGTACAGGAAATAAAGGTTATTTTTGAATGAATAAATTTTTAGTTGTGAAGGCATTAAGATTCAGAAACTTAAAAATGTTATAACTACCTCATTGAGATAATTTACAGAAATAATTAACTAATTAATAATTAACATAAACAATTTGAGTAAAAGTTAGAAGAGTATATGATACTTGAGGCAGTGTTACATATTCAGATTTTCCGTACTGATCTTATGTTCGCTAAAATAGCGTTTAGTAGCAGCAGGTGAACGGGTTTTATTGGAAATCGAATTGATCTTCTATTTTTTTGGAATTTTTTGATTTTCTAATTTGTTATAAAATTGTGCAGTACATTATAACTTTAAAATGTTTATACAGCATTTTCTATGTTAATTTTCTATAAAGTAGAAAATATGTCCAGTTTAAATATATAATCGTATCATTTTCGGACCATCCAATGGAGGTAAGAAAATTTTGTTTTCTCATCAATAAGTTAATAAATGACGATAATCTTTTAACACAAAATAGATATAGCATGAATCTTGCTATATCATGTTAAAGAAATTGGTCAGGTGCAGTATTTTCACGAACGTAGTTTCTTCTCTGTGTCGTAGTTTTACTTTTCATCTGCTGTTACTAAACGCTATTTTAGCAGAAACATTGTGGAAAGCTGAAATTTATGGCGCACCGGTAATCTAACGTGGAGGATCTGATAGAATTGGTTTTAGGCTTTTAGGGTTCTTCAGAGAGTATCTAGGAAACTTTGTGAATTTCTTTCCTCGTGAATTTCAATGCGAATTAACTTTTCAGCCGAGTGACTCGTTCACTGGACGAGACTCACTGAGTGGCTCAGGTGAGAAAGAATTTTGGAAAGAAAGTGGTAGTTTTTCTTATATAAGATAAATTTCAATTTGATCGATGGACAAAAAAGCTAAATTACGCTTAAAATTGAGCACAGGAGTCGAATTCAACATTTATTCGTTGTTAGCAACCCCTTGAGAAATCTCTAGGGACTAAACCCCCTGGGGAATCCATGTCATGATTCCCTGGGGAGTTTTTTCAGGGACTCCTTGAGGAGTTTTCCACTAAAAGTGGACTAGGATCAGACCTCCTTCATAGAATAATGTGCAGCAAAATCTTGATAAAATAGCCAAAATCACTGCCTTTTAGAGTTTTTCTATCAAGTATCATATTTGAAAAAATAACTCCGATCACTTTAGTTGCCAATGAGTATTTGCACAAAATGTAAAGAAGTGCACAAACAAACCATTTCCAGAGAACTCAAGAAACGACATTTATGCCATATATCTTTTGACTCTCAGACAGAGGAAAAACCGCATAGCATGTTCTGAGACTTATCAATTTATTCAGAAGTCGATTAACTATAAATGGGTATAATAGTGGTTCTTGGATACAATCCTAAGCTATTCGCTGATGATGACCACACTTACTCAAAACAAAAAATGATGAAGGAGATTGCTCGAGAGGTCAGAACTTTGTGGGCATGTGGAGTTTCATGTGCTCTATCGAATGAACTTTGAACGAAACTCTAATATTTTATTATCAAGTTAAATGGATTTTAATTTTTATCAAAGTTTCATTAAAACGCGTATAATACGCGTTTTAATGAATATATACGCGGAGATATACGCGGCGTATATCTCCCCGAACATATGTTTCCGCCTCATGAAGCGTTGAGATTCGGATAGAGCTCAAAATTCTCAGTATACACAGACATTTTGAGCTTATTTTTTGGTGGCTATTTCTTGTGCCGATATTTGAAAGATTGAATAAATCTTGCATAAAACAAGCACATGATATCACATGGCTACTCATATCAGTGCAGGGCGAAGAAAAGAAAAAAATTTTTCTTTTTACGTATATAGTTTAGAATGATAAAAATAAAAAACTTGATTTTTTAATTACTATAGCCTTGTTATTCAAAATAAAGTTTATATTCATGATCTCGATAAAAGTCTGAATCTAACTGTATAAAATTCGATTAGTTTCTCTCACTCTTTCCTTAGATCTCTGTCAGAGATTCTCTGAACGAGAAACATACTTCTGCGACATCGTTTTCACTTCTTTGCCTATTGTTTGGTGTTCACCAATGGGAAGGCAAGATCTAACATTTGTTATCTGGATCCTTATTTTTGGCTAAAAGAAGACAATGGGTTGATTAAGAGTTCATCAAGTTCCCCTCGACGAAGCCCGTTTAAGATACATTATTTGTGGATGGACATACTGATTTTTGAACTTTAGCAAAAACAGCAGAATTTTCAAAAAAGAGTCATATTTTCATGTTTATCGTTATTTATTAATCTTAAAAATAGTTTTTTCGAATTGTTCATGCAAAACTGCATCTAGAACAGTAAATTTTATTAAAATTAACTTTAACATAAAAAGATCGCTAAATTCTGAGAGGAGCTATTGAAGTCACACTGTACATTAAAATATATGTAAATTTTAACAAGGATTTTCATAAAAATAAAATCAATATTTCAGATAACTATTTGTAATTTACTTTGTGATATATAGCCATATCAGAGTTCTTAAGGGTTTCTTCACAAGGATTCTGAAAATCCTTGATGTCAAATTCTAGGTTTCGGCTGTACGGCAGACGTTTATTAACATTGTATGGAGTTAAATCATAGAAAATTTAAATATAGTTTTAAATCAGTTTGTTTAATTAAAGTGGAAATAATTTATAACAGAGAAAATCTACAAAAGGGCTGCTTAATATAAGGTAGGATATGGGTAGGAGACATTTTTATACGGTAAGATACAGAATACAAAAGAACTCGTACGATGTACATCTCTATTTTGGAGTAGTCTAATACTAGAACTAACCAACACAAAAGAAACAGTATTGTATATTCTATCGATTGTTACCTTTGAGCTGGTTATTCTCTTATCGATAGCTGCTGCTGTGCTTTGTATTAATTTGTATTCAGCCAAATACCAACATTCTGCTGTGTGTAATATCATGAAAATTCCAATTATCTAACTACAAAAATGTTGAATTCTCAATCATTTAGTAATAGACAATGAAACTCGTTGTAATTCAAGTTTAATAATTAGTATCATTTAAATAAACTTACATACAAATGTCGCTAGGCGATATATTTGTGTTATTTTAGATTTCTATTTTCTGTTAAAATGACTGATTCCATTTCAGTTCCAATTCTAACTACATTTATCAATAATTTTTTTACATTAACTCATCAATTTTATGCTAATTATCGTACATCACTTTTAATTTTTACTGGTACAGCATTATCAGTATGGCTATATAATAGGTTGTGGACAAATCGTAGTTTATGTCCAAGTTTAGCATTAATGACCGGTAAAACGGTCGTTATTACGGGTGGTAATTCGGGTATAGGTTATGAAACAGCAAAAGAATTGGCTATTCGAGGTCTCATTCAAACAAGATATTTTACATTTCCACTTTTTACGTTGATTTTATATTTGTATAGGTGCTCGTGTGATTATTGCTTCACGTAATGTGGAAAGAGGACAAATAGCCGTTGATACATTACGTGAAAAAACGGGAAGTAAACAAATTGAATTTATGCAATGTGATTTATGTTCGTTGGATTCTGTCAGAAAATTTTGTAAAACTTTTAATGAAAACGAATCGAGGTTAGATTGTTTAATTAACAATGCAGGTATATTCAAAATATAAAGATTAAGGTTAAAAAGTCAAACATTTCATCATATATTCGTCAGGTCTTGTCTATTCTCCTGATGTTGTTACTAAAGATGGTTATAATTCAATTATACAAGCAAACTATTTGGGACATTTTTTACTTACAAATTTATTATTGGACAAATTGAAACAATGTAAACCATCTCGAATTGTTAATGTTTCATCTGGTCTTCATTATAGTAGGTTTATTACTCGGTATCTCTTTGACCATCTCTGTCATTTCTATCATTTTTAAAGGCGTAAAACATATTGATTGGAACGATATCTTTTCTCAGTTTAAAGATCGATCACTCTTTGGACCATATTCTTCTTCAAAAGCATTTCAAATTATGTTTACCAAAAAACTGAAAGACGATCTAGGAAAAGGTAGTCTTATCTTTCGATTTTTGAGATTGAAATGATTCACTATATTTAGCTGGTGTAAATTCGTTTGCTACAAATCCCGGTTGGGTATGGACATCGATTCAAAATCCGATGCGTGAAGCAATTGGTCTCCTAGGTTTTTTAATATTTTATCCTTTATTGTATGCAGCAAAAATCTTTTTTGCCCAAAACTCGAAAACAGGTGCACAAACAACAATTTATTGTGCCGTGGCTTCAGAACTAATTAATTCAAATGAAGTTTATTTCGCGTATGTTAACTTTCAATTGTTTATCGTCCTTCTGTAGTGAAAGTTTCTCTTTTCTTACTGTTAAGCAATTTTTCGGCAAAACAAACGAATCCAGTGTGTCTCGATTCAAAAAATACTGAACGTTTATGGAAATTAAGTAGTGAAACTGTTGGACTCGAGCCGAATTCCGAAATTTAAGATTTATTTTTCTTTATTGAACAGTTTTGTAAAAAATTTTACAAAAATCTTTTTTTTTGTTGTATTTTTCGATTCATAGTATTTGGATGCGCTATTTTGTGAATGAGACAAAGTTGGAATCTTACGTCTGACTAATGTATGTATGACGTTTGAGAAGGAGTCGAGTTAAACGCAAAGCCAAATGGAACTTCAAAGAATCAAAAAGTGCTCCAAACTGCTCAAAACCATTTCAAGAAGTGATGTTTTGAGTGTCCGCATTGAAACATATAGTTCTCTTGTGATTTTTGCCACATCGGTTGACTTAAACTCAGAAAAAGAGAAAATTCTTACCAAGAAAAATTCATTTGAATAAAGCCCATTGAACCTGAACGCATTTTTACACTTATTCAGCCTCAAAAGCTATGCACTATCAACTGCTAATGACCTTGGCTATTTCTAATATTACAACTATTTAGTTTATATTGTCATGATAATGACATGGATAAATTACAGAACGTTTATTGACACACATCTAATTAGATGAAATAAATCATTTTAAATTAAAAAAACTCTAGCAACTATACGTTTTGAATATCAGATTGTCGATAAACTACCACTCATTTAGAGGGTGCCGAGATCGAACAAGAGCGCATACATCTGTACCCCAGTTGATGGAAAAATCTGTAGAAAACGAATATTTCCACGACAATTGTATGAGTTAGATATGGGCAGACTACATGTTAAACACTAAAAGCACCAAATATGGCGAAGTCATACTTATCGCTACACTACTTGCAATATACTTTGACTATCTCATTTTACTGATTTTAATTCAACTATATTGACATAAAAAGAGAAAAGTTGATGAGTTTTTATAAACTCTCTCTGTATAACTTCTAAGCAGATAATTCAGCATTATTTTTCAATCAAATCAGTAGAATGGATTTAATTTTCAAGCCGATGAAAAAAAATACACTTGTTTCGAAATATATAAGTCGCTTACCTTCTCCATTTACTTCATAACTCAAACTTTCCAACTATACATTCATCATGAATCCAATTTCATCATTCAACAACAACTACTCTTACTCCTTCTCCACTCCAATGTCGTCGACCACGGATTCTGGCTATCAGAGTCCCAGCTACTCGCATTCCAGTTTATCATATTCACCATTAAATCATTCTCAATCATGTTTCTTTTCTAATGACAACAATATGATGCATCCAAGTCCAATTACAAATTCAGGTAAGTTGTTGGATTTCTTTGCATTGAAAAACAGAGGCACAGATAATCATCAATGAATGTAGAGGAGCATATATTAAGAACTACCGTTTTTCGCTTCAGTGTATCCGTATCCATACATGAATCCATTCACCCAATATTCGTACTTTAATCAATCTCATCAGTCATCAATCGCATCGCAGCCAACCACCAGCACACCACAGCCATTGTCACGTAATCAATCGAAAATGCGTACTTCTTCTAATCTTCCAACACTACAGGTATGTAATGACGAGGATTTCAGAACGACGTCGGATCTTCATCTAACATATAATCAACACCAGGTAAGTGCCCTTTAAATATCATTCCTTTTTTGGTTACGGTTGCATTATGTATGTTTTGTACGTGCTATCAGGCACTTGTAAAAGTAGTTTTGAGCCACTCCGAATGGCAAGCCTCGTACTATTAAATATTTTTGATATTCTAGACTTCTTCTCAACGACGAATCCAAGGACAAGATCGAACAAGTTCATCCGTAAAGCATCCACCAGCATCATCAGTAAGGATATATAATTAAACAATAGACTATAAACAATATGTGAGTGTGAACTTGATGCTTGTTTAGAATGTCGATGAATCCTCTATTACTGTTCGACGATTATCCTCCAATTTGAAAGGTCGATTACCGGATGATACGGTGAATATATTAAATGATTGGTTCGATTCTCATGTCGATCATCCATATCCAACGAAAGATGAAAAATTAGAATTAGCGGAACAATGCGGTGTTTCATTACAAAAGGTATCAACGTGGTTCAACAATCGACGTACACGCACACGAAACACACGTCCAAAGCAAATACAAGATGATTTATTGAGACAAATTGAACATTTGAAAAGTGTTGTTGTGCTTCAACAACAGACACCTTATTCACCATTGTTCTGACATTTTCGTGTGGTATTTTAGTAAATAATTTTACAAAATAAAGAAATGTTAAAAACGTAGTGAACTTAATCTGCTACTCACAGTCGTTTTTTAAACGTTTATCGCTAAAAAGCAGTCCGACCCATTTGACGCAAAACAAAGAGTACAACCATTTTGGAGCTCTTCAGTTTTTAAAACTTTTACCAAGCGGCTATATAATATAATCATATAATTCTTTATGATCATAAACGATTAAGGAAGAATCTTTTTTCTTGTATAGATTTTGTCAAAATTCAATTATTATTAACTATAATTGTAGAACACATAATTTCTTTTGCTTCCTTAACGCGAAGAAGACAAATTTTCACCTTTTTTCAATAAGTTCTAATAAAATCGCATTTTGTATCGCAATAATGAATTCAGATCGAATCTATAATACACAAAAAGAAAGACGTTACCTGGCGACAGAGCACCAGAACATCTATTTGATTTTACTTTCATCGAAGGCTCCAACTGTATTTTCAAATAATTAAGAGTTGGTAACATAAGAAAAAGTTGTAGAGGAAATGCTAAGAGTGCTATTTAATCTGGGACACCCGATACATGGTTTTCGGAAAGCTACAAAGACTAACTGAACGAACTATATTTGGCCTGGGTATGCGTCACGTTTTCGCAGTTTGGTTTTTATTTTTCTCGAAAAAGGAACAGAGAGTTGATTCTTGCTTCATTTTGTATATTTCAGCTGTTCGAAACTAATCTGAAGGTTTGAATTTCTCTGATTAAGTTGTTGTGGAGTCATAGTCACAACAGAGAGGTTTACGGCGTTATGCAAAAGAAGGTCCTAGTGCGAAAGTGTACTCGATAAACAACAGAATTCCTACCAATCTTGAAACGTAGATACTTTCAAAATTAAAGTTGGAGATAAAGTTTGTGGTTAAAACGTTACGTCCGTCACGTTATGCATTTTTCGTTTAATCATCAGATTCATACTGAAAGTCTATTTTTAATTGCAAATGGAAGCTAGTAAATAAATCATGACTGACGAAAAAGTATTTGATTTAAACGTCATTTTCATCAAACGGGAGATGGCTAAATTTTTCTGTCTCAAAAATATCTATACGTACTTGAGTGTCCATGAGACACATGAAAAAGATTCTTTATTACCAGAGAAACAAAATATTGAATTACAATTATGATAAATACAACCAGACATCACTTAAAGGATTAGCTACACAGCAGCTATATCTACAAAAACAAAGATGGAAAAAAATAACAAGCACTTGAGACATCATAATTCGGACAAAAAGATGACTAGTGATAATCAAATTCTTTCACTACTTTTTTCATGATGTAGTATTAATGTGGAAAACCAGATAAATTTGAATCATAGGTATTACGACTAAAATGACTACGATATCTAAACAAATATAAAATAAAATGATTGTAAAGAATTTCAATTAATTCATTATTTTGATTTACCGGACTGGATCAAATGGTATATTTAATGGAAAATAATCATATGCACGATCGTCGATTTGTTCATCGGCACCAAAATAATTTGATTCCATATCGAGAATACTTAAAGAAAAGAAAATGATTTTGAAACGAAGAATATAAATAAGTAAAGTAGAAATGTAACGTACCCATAGCGAGACGATGGATGACTATAGGGTTGACGGTCTCGTAGTGAAGAACCAAAACTGCTACCTAAAACAAAGAAAAATTTTATTTCATACCTTGCAAAACTAGATCAAAATCGAATCCTCTATTTAATACACAATTTAACATTTGATTACCGCATATAACTCTGGTGTAAACTAGTTAAAATAGCCTTAACTTTAGATTTATTTCTTCTTTCAATTCAATAAATGTTGTTGTAAAAATTAAAATAACCTACTTGCATAACCAATACTAGCTGGTGAAAATGATGAATAACGATAATTTGAGCTTGCTCGTGAACTAATCACACCACGACGTTGCCATCGTAAATCCTATAATAAAGTAAGAGAGAAAAAACACGAATATATATCGGTCTATTGGACTATATTCATTCATTCAACAACATGCAATAACGTGCAAAACAAATAGGTTGTAGGTTCACTGTATTTTTTTTTTACTAAAAACAGACAAACAAATAAAAAACCAACAATATTACAAAATGTAAAGAAAGAAAAATGCAAAAACTAGCTCAATGAATATATTTTATGCAAATTTTTAGAGACAATAATAAAGTTTTCGTTGATTTAACAGATAAATACATGAAAACTTTCGTGGGTGCACCGTTGGTAGTCGGAATATTAAGAGATAAGTAAACATTATCTACGATCCGTTTTAGCAATTATATCATTAAACCATGGTCCACCTTGAAAATAATCGAATGCTAATAACCATTCTTGATCATTTCGAAAATTTACATTGTTATTATTGATACAAAAGAGATTGTTCTGTCCACGGTCACGATTATTCATATTTGAACGATAGGGCTCTGGTCTCGATTGATCAAATGGATAATAATTTTGTTGATGTTGATGTGATGGAGGTGTAAAATTTTGATAGCGTTGCTGCTGTTGTTGTTGTTGTTGTTGCTGCTGCTGTTGCTGCTGCTGCTGAGGTTGAGGTTGATTATACGCACCGTACGGAGGTTGATGACGTCGAAATGACGGTGATGAGTGAAACTAAAAATGAGGATGATGTTGGGAGAACACACACGACGACAACAACATGCAAGAAATGATAAAGCGAAACATTAGGTAAAACATAAAGCATAAGAGTACGATAAACATGCCAAAAATTACAAAATAGTCTCATGTACAATTGACTGATGAGCGAAACCGTAAAACGAAGTCACTAATCGAAAAGTAACTATAAATAAATCTTTTCGTACAATGACTGATTAGAAATTAGTAAGCTATAGAAACACACTCTAAGCTAGTTTTCATGATGAAAAATTTTAGTTATGCTTTGATCCGTCACTTCGTTCTTTGGTTTATTATCACGCTCAATCAGATGTCATATTATCTGATAATACATACCCTCTCAGATCCCATTTGTTCAGTCTTTTGACTTCCACTTCCTTGTCCTCCATTTTGATCATTATCGTTTGTTCCATTACCGCTATTATTTCCATTTTGATTTCCTCCACCACTATTGTTTCCTCCACCATATTCATTCATCATCATACTATTTTGATTTTGATCTTTTTGTCGTTCAAATTCATCAACATGCATTGATGGTGGCCGACTTGTATTTGGTGGACGTGAACGAAAATGATCTTGACGACGTTGACTACCCGAATAGGGTACACCACGTCTAAAACGACTACCACGCATCGGTGCTTTATAAGGAGCTGATTTTGTTGCCGTTGTTGTTATTATTATTTCCTTTTCATCACGTTTTTTTGTTGTACTAAAACATATAGAATATTAGATTCGAAAACTACTTGATGTACTTGTTATATAGATTCTAAAATTCAATAATGCATAATTACCGTCTTTTTTTCACCACTTTGTCCACAACTTCTTTTTTATATTCATCAAAAAAGTTAAATGTACCACAATATTTTCCAATTAAATCCTCCAGATCACATTTGACCTATAAAAAAAAATGATGACACTACATGACTGATGAATCCAAGAGAAAAAACAACAACAAAAACTAACTTTATCTTGTATTTGAGTCTCATCTGTTTCATCATTTGCTACCTCTTCGGCATCATCTAAAATAGTGGGTATTCCAAACCAATATTGTTCTGTTGTTCGATGATCATCTGTTAATTCTTGATCAATTACATACACCAGACGTTTTTGAAATTGTTGTTCTAATGTCTCGGGTCTCGGTAATTCAACAGCATTCATCTCATCATCTACTTCTTCTTGTACTTTTATCTCATTTGACATGGGTTCTGCTAAAACAACTAAATCCATCATGTATGCACATATAAACGAGAACAAAATGTAAACTAACCTGTCTCTTCTGCTTCAATATCAGTTTTCAATAATTTAATTATTTCTTTTGCTCGTTCAACAATTTTTTGTAAACTTAATAAACATTGTTGATCTTCATCTTCGACAGCTTTAATTTCATCATTTTGGGCGCTTTCCTAAATAAAACAAGAAAATAAAATGACTATTAACTTATAAAAAGATAATCCAACAAATTAGAGCCCATTCTCACTAAACTTTCGACATAATGTCAAATGAATGAGCAAGAAGAACGACTTTAGAAACAATTAATGTTTCAATAAGTACTGAAAATGTTTTAATACAAAATAAACAAAAAAAACTATATAAATTTCATTGCGTTGTTTTAGTTATTCGTAATATTAGATATTAACTAACAGTTGAAAGAAAAAACATAACTTTAATAATAAGCGAGCACAAGAGCACAAGCTCACACACAAATAGAGAGAATTATAAAAAATATTTCAGTGATTTTAGCTTATGTGCTCACTCACATTGTCTTTCGTTGTCTGCAAACAAACGAAAGAATTTCTTTGTCGTTCATTTTTGATCCAATATCTCGTCTAAATGATAGTGAGCTTCGGTGTTCTTGTATCTCGAAATAATTACTCAACAAATAAATAAAACTATTTCCACTTACATCCGTAACAACAGCATTAATTAATTCAATAAATTTTTCTAAATGACTTTCATCATTGACTGTTGACGTTAATGAAACACCAAGTAATTCACGAAACATTGACAATGGTAAACATTCTTTACGTGTAAAACTACAAATAAAGACAAAAAAGAAAAAATGTTTATCTAACAGTTTGAATTGATATACACTCTCTTCCCCTCCATAGAGATTAATCAACCGACAAATAGCTAAAAAAAAATAAAGTATTCTTCATTGTACATACTTTTTCATTTCATATTCTGGAATGATATCTGTGGTTGCTAATGTTCTTAAAAATGCCATTAATGCTGATACAGCATCCAAATAATCTGGTTGTTCTTTATCAAATCGTAAATCAAATTCTGATATTAATGTACAAATTGAATTTATATTATCTCCTGTTAATGCTCTAAAGATTTGACAAAACAATTTAAAATTATTCAAAAAATAGATAAAACTATCACATACTTTTTTATTCGATGTAGTCCATAATCATGTTCACATAATGTAATTAGTATTCTTAATGCCAACGTTGTTTGTGTCCATATTTGTCTTGGTGAACTAATAAGTTTAATTAAATTTATCAAAATTTGATTTAATAGAGTAGATTGTGGTAATGAATTTGCCATGGTTTGTAACAAATCATCTTTGTAATAGGATAAACAAAGATTAATTTCACATAAATTTTGAATTATGGACTAAAAAGTAAGAAAAACAAAAAAAACATATTGAAATTTTTGTGAGATATTAATCTATGAATAAGTTTAATGTTGTACATAATAGAGTAATTTCATATTATTCTCTTACCAATGTTGCTTCTTGACCAACACAAATGTCGGTAACAATATCTGAACGTGTATGTAAATTGGACAATAAATCTTGAAAGAGAATTTTATATTTTTCATCAGCATTTCTAATAAATAACAAAAAGAATTTTCTTTCATTTTATTAAATGAATAATACGAGAATAGAGAATTACGTACGAGTGTAATAATGTTAATAAGGCACATTTTGACGCTCGACTCGATGTTATTGAGGCAATGAACATTAACAGACGACTAACATCTTGTGTAAATATGGGTTGTTTTTCTGAATCATATTTTAATAAAGACAACAAAACATCCAACAATATTCTAAAAAGAGATGTTTAAAATTTGTATATATCTCAATGGCAGATATCATTATCTCCATTTGCTTACTTGACAATATGTTTGGCTAATTTGGCTCCTAAATCTATCAGTTGTATACATAATCGTCTAAGACATTCTTGTACAACAGAATTCGAAGATAGACACAAAAATTGAATTAGTTCTTGAAGATTAGACGATTCACTTATTATTAAACAATAGTAAACATTATGAAAACGTGAATAATCGTCTAAAATCCTTGAACATTCATGCTCGCTTAGTGGCTAAAACAAGAAGCAAACATATACGTCATATTCTTCATATTTATATGAACACATACCTGTCTAACGGTATGAGGTAGTGGAATTGGTAATAGTTCGGTTAATAGACATATCCCACTCGTTAACGTATATGGAGATTGTTTTGTTAAACGTAATATTTCACGCAGAACAATAATCCATGCACTCTTATTTAACGCTACAATAAAAGAAGAGGCTATAATAACTAAAGTATTAAGTATTTTCTTGAATCATACATACCATCTTCTGTATCTGAACTCTCTGGTAATGACCAAGTGTAAGCCATAAACGAATCAATTAAATTTGAACGTATTGTATCAAGATCAGACAATTCTGTGGATGGTGCAGCACATAATGTAACAGTATAAACGGAAAATAATGCTTTTATGGGTGTAATATCAAGAAACTAAAGAACAACAGATGTTATACATACTTTTTTTAGAGAGAATTATTATTAATGACTTACCTTAGCCATTCTTCCTAAAATTAATTTTTGTAACATCACTTTGAGAATGATCAACGCTGGAATAATTGCCCCATAAATAATAACCCGATCAGGTTGTGGTGCAGGAAAACCAACTTGCCACGTAGGAAGTAATGAATCAGAATATTTCTGAAACAATTAGATACATACACGCATGTAATAAACAGGACAGTCAAATTTTCCTTTATTCTTACTTCAAGGATATTTATCAATATATTATATGCTCCGCTGCTGTAAAATTTCGCTAACATATAGTCGTATTTTAGTTCAACTTTGGCTCCTAAGAATAACACAGAAAGATAGTGGCATCTAATCGAACTACGGTGTTGTGCAAAATTATAGAAACGATTTATTTTTAACGTTTTTTACTTGATTGTAATAGCCAAAAAATAGTTGAGAAACTCTAAGAAGCCTGGATTTAATCGGAAACTTCCTGTACATAACTCAGTTATATCGAACAAACTATTCTGGAAACAAATGAGACGCCTTCGAGCTCTTCACGATATTCTTACGTTAAAGTGCATTCATTTTACGACAGATTCCAAATTTTTATTGTTTTCCTGTCGGTATGCTGGTTTTGGAAGGAAGGAAGATTCTTCCTGGAAGAATACCGTGCCTCCACTGGCACACATGGATCAACGTATTTATTATTAAATTTGTATCTCTTCCTTTCTATTATACACACATACCACCACCTCAATCAATCTTTATTTTGTATAAATATTTCTTTCATGCAGACTCATTTTTTCTTAATAGATTTTGTTTTGATTAATCTGCTCTCTTTTTTTTCTTTTTGTGGACATACAGTGGGGCTTGCCTCGACTTACCCACTTCTTATTGCTACGTTTATTTATCAAGTATTTTCTATAGTAAATCTTCAAGATTAAAAAATAAAATACCGCGCCTTGTGGCTGCCGTTACCGGTATGGTGTGCTGCCTACTGAGTGCTTCTATAGGACTGACGAAGGAACTACCTCAAGTGATACATCCTAATTTTGTTCAAACGTGGCTATCTATATGTAATCAAGGACGCTAATTACGAATATGATAACCCTTTGAGCCCATAGATCTTTCCTAGCCTCCGGTTGTTCAACCGGTTTTCCAGAAGTTCCCTGAAACCGTAGGAATGTTCTCTCAACATGTTGGGATTACAGTTCGTAAATTTAGTCCGCATTAGTTTGTAAATTTTGCATCAAAATGAGATCCCTCCCAGCTCTCCATGACCTTTCTTTGCAAAGTTATAGAACTTACAAGAAACGCACTAAATGGTCATTGTCAGGTCGAGCTATAGAAAGAAAAAGGAAAAAATTAATTTAGTGTACTTCTTGTAAATTCTATAACTTTAGCAAAGAAAGGTCATGGAGAGCTGGGAGGAAACTCATTTTGGCGCAAAATTCACGGACTATAATCCCAATATGTTGAGAGAACATTCCTACGGTTTCAAGGGATTTCTGGAAAACCGGTTGTCCAAAGAGAGGCTAGGAAAGATCTATGGGCACAAAGAGTTATCATATTCGTAATTAGCGTCCTTGATTACATATAGATAACCAGGTTTGAACAAAATCAGGGTATATCACTTGGGGTGGTTCCGTCGTGGGGTTGTGTGCAAAAAGTTTGCGATCGAATCGAGGGACTTGATTACTTAGAGTTCGAGTTTCCTAGAGAACTCATATCAGAAAATTTGTATGAAATTTTCATATACATCGTTTCAATTAAAAATTCTTTCCAACTTTTCAATCACTTTTTAGTTTTATTCGGACTATGTCAATCGAGCAGAAGGCGTTAGAAACAAATCGTTCGTCTAATTTTCCACAGCACTAAATATTTTTCTGTTTTATTACCTATTGTAAATTGGCTATCGGGCGGTACAACGAGATACTTCATAATTCTCAATACTGTGACTAAACCGGGTGCTAATTCATTTGTTCGTGTATCATTTATTTGACATTTTAATTCTGTCATTACAGCATCAATTGTCTCTTGAGTTGAATCAAATGTTTTTATTTTTAATAATGGTTGTAACCAATAGCGTAAACGTAATAAACGTTGATTGGTATCTAAAAAAAGGTTCAAAAATGAAATAAAAATATTGAATAAAAGTATCATTAAAAAGAAGATACTTACGTTGTTCACATAAATCCAATATTTGTAAACCATAGTGTTCAAGAAATAAAATTGATTCGGGTGTAGATAAAAGTTCGTATAATATTCGACCAATATAACGAACTTGTACACTTGATTTTAATTTTTCAATTTGTTCTTCATCACCTAATATAAATAAATTTATTTAAGAGTATAAAACGAAAATTATCTAAATTATTCTACTTTAATTAACTACTGACCGGTGAGCGATAAATATTTCAATATAGCCATCATATTATTATCTAATGCTAATACTCTTACAATTATCTTCTTATATGATAATTTTCGAATATAATGATAAAAAACGATAAGAGATAAAGTACCATGCAATACTTGAATTACATTTGAATCATCCACTTCTAAATTATCTACAACATAATAGTAGTTTAATAGTAAAAAATGAAACAAAATATATTAAAAAATATAAAAAATCATTTACCATTTAAACTGTACAATTTTAATTCATCGACAAAGGCTAATGTTTGTAAAGCACAAACAACTTGAGGACCCAATGATTCAGCATTTGTCGATGAAAATTTTGTTTCCTTAACAAAATAGAATATTGGATAATAGAAAAGAATAAAAACAAAACCATTCTTTTATGAATACATACGGCAAGAAACAGTGCTCTCAATAAACTATTTGTTAATGATGTTTGATTGGCTAGAAATGTTAAACCATCATTTGTAAACATAAATTGTTTTAATATATCTTCAATACAATTAAATAAATCTTGACGATAATTTAACACTGATATATGAATTAAAACAGTTAATGATTTCAAAAAATCACTGAAAACAAAAAAAAATATGACTATTATGAGAAAATAAATTAAAATAAAATGAATTCTTACGTATCAATAATCATTTTTAATATTGATGGCCAAGGATTTTCACTATTTTGAATTTTTGAAAAAACAACAGATAATGATGGTTGTAATGGAGAGGCACGAGATTTTTGTTGAGACAATACATCATCAGCATTCGTTAAAATATCACATATGGCTGTTAATGATACTAATAAATGATCTAATTTTTCTTTCGTACTATTAGACGTTTCTAAAAGTATTACATAAAGTTTAAGATAATATAAATGGTGATAAAATATTACAAAAAATATTTACCATCATTGATATTGGGTTGTTCAATTATTTCTTCTTTGTATCTTTCAATATTAAATGATGAAAGTAAACTAGAAGAAGAACAATACAAAAAAAGTAAAAGATATATTCTTTCGATTTGTCAAATGTATGACATCTAGTCTTACCCTTTTAAATGAGTTCGAATCGATAAAAATTCTTCATTAAGATGAATTTTTGTTAATAAACTACCGATTGCAGCAGAAAAACGTTTTGCCTGAAGAAAAAAACAAAAAAAAAAATAATCAAAATAATGAGGATACAAGAAAAGAGTTGTTTAAAAATAATGTACTTCGTCAGTCATTGTTAATTTTTGAACAAGACGAAAATAGCATGATGATTCACCATTAGCGGGAAAGTTAGGATGACGACCTAAAATAGATAATCCATAATCGATAAAACATTGTGTATATAATAGATAGTAGTAGTCACATACCAATAAACCATAATAATCCACTTTTAAAATATAAACTTTGATCAAGACTTTTAATGATTAATAATCGAACAGTTGGTGTCATACAATTATCATCAAATAAGTCTAACAGTTTGGATTGAAAATCTTTTTTCTGAACAAAACAAAAAAAAAATGCTTTAAATTATCTACTTTTGAATGTAGATATGTTACATACCACCCATTCATTATTAAAATCTTCATTTAACATTGTCAATTGTCCACATAGACGAATACCACATTTTAATAAACGTATTTTCAATACTGTATCTTTACGATCTAAAAATTGTTTATCCATTATATAGTTTAAATCGATTAATTTCAGTGTCCATTCAGTTAATCGTTGAAGAGCTGATGCTTTAAAAAAAAAAGAAAAGAAAAGATAAACATAGTGGCGTGAACTATACAAAAATAAAGGAAATAACAACTTACGCGTTTCTTCAATACTATCACAGCAAGCTAATGCTACCGGTAATATCATACATAGAGATTCTAATGATTCTAATAAACTAGAATAGGAAAAAAAGAAATTATTATAACAAGAAGATTAACTAATAGTAGAAATACCTACTGTAAATCACAATTATCAATCGAATGATGTGAGAGTATTTTGCGAAATCGAACAACTAAATCTTCATTGGCATTACGATATTTTTCATGATGACACTTTTCACATTCTACTTCATATGAACTCAATACGGATGAATGAAATGTCTGAATGTGAAACAAAATAGCACATAAATCAACAAATTATTGAAGAAAAAAAAATAGTGGGCCAACTAACTTTTCTTCTTTAGTATAAAATGGATGAAGAATTATTTTTCTAGATTAGAGACTCTCAAAGTTTGAATAAAAAAGTTATTATAAACTGAAACTTAAGAAAAAAATAGATGTACCTTTAGTTGAAATGGTGTATGTGGTAAACGAAGTGGTGCACGTGGATTATAAAGAGCATCACGCTAAAAATGACAGAAATTGTTCAATTTGAAATAATAAATTTCGACTGACCAACCTTTAATTGTTGATGTTCATCGTCACTGAATAAAAGTCCTTGAATGGATGATGCTTCACTTTCTGACGTATTATCATCTGACTCATATGATTCAGCTTCCTACACACATAGAATAAAAATTTTTCATCTAGTGTTTTTCTATTTAATGTTCATATTACTTACACTTAAAATTCCTTCAGAAGTTATCGTGGTTACAACTTCACTAGTATCGCCTCCATTTCGTCTATTGTCATTTGTTAAACAAGATGGATGAAGAAATTGCCCTTTTTGATCTGATTCTATCACAGCCTTTTGAGATAAATTTGGTGGTGACATATGAAATGGTGCAGAAGATTGAAATGAAGGATTATTATTGTTTGACAGCTGATTTAAATCATCATTAATATGATCTTGATGAATACCTAGAAAGTGAAAGAAATACTTATGATTGAACTTGTATGAAATTTTTTCAAAGTTGAAATAGTTTTTCACCTCGATGCTCATTATTTCTGGATACTCTAGATAATGGTACTAATTTTTCATCTATATCATCACTGCGTTCGTGTAGTTTTTCACGCTCACGATTTTCAGTACGTTGTTGTTGCTGTTGATAGTCTCTAGAAAAAAAAAATAGATAAATTGGATAATCTATCATTTATTATTTTTACAATACGTACGATGGAGAATAAGATCGATTTTGATTTCGAGAACTGAATGTTGGTGCAGGAGGTGGTGGCATTGCTTGTTGCTGTGGTGGCAAACGTGCATAATCGTCTTGTTGAGTAATTCGATAATTTTCGGAATTTTGTGATGGACGAGAAGAGGATTGTGGATTATTGTCTCGTTGATACAACAATGAAGCAGGAATAGCGGGAGGAGCAGGTGGAGGATATTCATGGATCGATGGATGAATAATATCATCTAAATATACACACAAACAAAAAAATGATCACTCAAAGTATTACATGAGTTTACAAATACTATAAACTCGTTAATACTGCAATGGGGAAAAAAAATGTAATAAAGTATTTTTCTTATTCATCATACCGCGACGATTTTGCATTTGTATACCGCTTCCATAGCCTTGAGGCATTGATCGTTGTTGATATGTTTGGTTTGGTTGATTCGGTTGTCGCTGAATTTGTTGTTGATTTCCGAGTTGTTCAGGTGGTGCAACCCAGACACCATCTGAATGCGGAGAAGGAGCCGTGGTTCCTTGTACTTGAGGTGGTTGATGTTGTTGTTGTTGTTGTTGTTGTTGCTGTTGTTGTGGTTTTGCTGTGGGAATATCGAATGGTAATGTATCCATTGGATGAGCACGATGTGGTGGTAAAGCGGATTGTAAAAAATCAACAATTTGTTTTTTATTATTAACAGCTTCGTGACGATCATTCTGAAAGAAAGTGCAGTTTTAAGTAAAATATATATCGAAAAAGTAGCTTTATTATCTGATTATCATCAACTTACTGGTGATTTTGGTCGTGCTAGTACTCCAATAACGGCCAATGTAACCGAATCATATTTTCCTTTAATAACTAATGAATCACTTGGTATCTATATAAAAGGACAAAAGATTTGTATAAGATACATCAAAATCAACAACATATATTTACCGAAGATGATGGATAAAAAGTCATATCATTTTCACCGTGAAACACTTTTCTAGAAGAAAACAAAATAATAAATTTGCAGAAATGATCATCAGGAGTGCAGCAGAGCCTTTCGACACGTGTATTCAAACTTACTTTCCAAGTTTTCCGTATCGCACTCGGTCACTATTCGAACGAGCATTTAAATTTTTTGCAAAAAATTCTAATTCACATGGTGACGGTTTTGTTGCCCTAAAACAAAAAAATGAAAAATATATGTCATTTCGTTCTTTATAGATAAGATAATTGCATACCCAACACGGGATAATGTTTTATCAATTAAATTCGCTTGAAATCCATGGGGTACAACTCTTATTTCGTCAATATAAACCGGTTGTTCAAATTTAATTTCATCGACTTGTAATACCTAAAGACAAAAAAAGGTAGAATTACTTCGTTTCAAATGAGTCATAGTTACTATCGTTGTATACCTCATCGATTTCTTCATCGTGGCAGAATGTATCAAAAAATAAAAATTCTTGTTGTGAACTCATGTCAGACTACAAAGATTTTTCGATAATAAACACATCTAAAACAGCAAATATTGGTAATCAGTGTAAGGCAGAACTGATTTCTATATAAAAAAGACAAAAGGGTAGTAATGTTTCATGTTGATGATATTATAATTCATGTAATGCTGATCTATCAATCATCCAAACTAAAGTGTATAAGACATAATTTCTGAAACATAGTAGACTAATAGAACAAAATGAAAGGATTGAACAACTCATTCATAAGAATTCAGTAAGTGTACCAATAATAACAAATTTTACATGTGTAGCATTTACAACAAAATACTTCGATTCGAAAAAGATGTAACCATCATTAAAGAAGAAAACATTCTGATATCAAGGTATAGGCTGATTGTTGGAATGTGTTACTTAATCATGGTATCAAAGATCTCCAACATTTTAGAGAAAATATTCAACGTATGTCGGTAACGGCATACTGACCAATCTGTCGGTGATATCAACACTCACACTACTCTGTTTGATAAGATTACTTTCACTCACCATTTCACAGATAGAAAATAATTGTCACGACCTTCCGACTTATTACATCAGAGTAAGAGATGTTTATTTTCCGTAAGAATGAAAAGATGTCTCACATTCTCTGTTTTTTTTCATTGCATAGATTTGTTTTCATGTTTACACTCACAAGGAGACAGAAGGTGCAAGTTTACTACCGCCTTTCCCCATCATGAATTACTGCCTTCATTTAACAGATCTCCACTCGTTAGTCAAAATATTTTGCTGTCAAAAAATCTTGTGTTATTGAATTTGCGCCGTAAATACGTTATATGGAATAGTTGGTTAAAATCAGCTAAAAAATTATTTTATGCTGAACATTAAATTCAGTCAAGTAGTTTACTTTTCAGATATTATGTACATTTTTTTTGGCGGCTAATCGATAACTAACGTACACTGCAAAAATATCCCGGTCTTTTATCCGTCTGATCCCGACATTGAAATTATAAATGAAATCCAAATATGATATGACAATTTGTATGGTAAAAACATCGCATTGTCAGTTTAATGTCAGTCTCTCTTCACAATAGCCTTCTTTGCATTCTATGTCTATTCACAGCAAGCCGCCAAATTTTCTCATCAGAACTGTCGAATTTTACTAAAAGACTTTCCTTATAGAAAAATTTTGAAATCTGTCTGATATTAAGTGAAAAACTTGTTTTTCGTCAAATTTATGCTCAAAACTTATTATTGATGTAGCAACTCACTGAATCTTATTAGAAAAATGTCATTTTTCATATTTATTTTGTGGAATTAATAGTTAACTTTTGCAAGATTTTTCACTATTGTACCAGTTTTGACGGTTAGCAGTGTGGTAAACAAGTAAAAGCTGTAGAGTGCGATCCTAAACTTTGATTGGACAACCAATTCAACGAATGAAATTGCGGCAGCAGGCTCCGTCTACTACTGAGAAATAGGCGATATCATGCGTCTAGAGGTTGCACGCCGGGAGAAAATTAAAGTAATTAAGGTGCTATGATCAACGTGTCTTTCTGCTTTATCCGCTTCATAGATGTGGATTGTGTCGCCTTAGGTAGTAACTCTGATAATTTATCGTAATACATTTTGAACGCTCGCTACCCTAGTCGAGAATCCCGACAAAACTCCCACGGGACTCCTGTCACAAGGTACTGCCGGAATCCTGTGAGAGTCAGGTAAGACTTTCAAGGAACTCCTGAGGACTCTCTCAGGACTCCTGTGGGACTTTCGAGTCCTGTGGGGCTTTTAAGGAACTCTCGAGGAATCGCTCAGGACTCCTGTGGGACTTTGGGGACTTTCGAGTCCAAAGAAAACCCTCAAAGTCCCACGGGAGCCTCTTGAAAGTCCCGTCTGGCTCCCGCAAGATCCGGCACGTCCCCGTGACAGGAGTCCCGTGGGAGTTTTGTTGAAAGTCTCGACTAGGGAAGGCATTACGTGGAAAATTTTCTTTTTAAACTACTATTTCTCATCGAAGAAAACTGACTTTTTCAATCCAATTCTTCTGCTTTTACATTTAAGCTAGAGAACGATTTTAAAGTATTATTTATTGTACAGTAAAGTTGTTGTTTTAATTCTCTTAGAGTTTTTATTTCAACGAGAATCTTTTTAGAAAAATCTCAATGTTCACTGGACTATCTCGTAGTCAGTAGCATTACTTCCTGGGCTATTAAACAATTTTCCGTAGAAAAACTGATTGAATGTTCTGATTTGTTTATAGCATGAATAGAGAAAGTAGCAGAGCTCCGTCGTCAAAAAAGTGTTTTAAGACACCGAAGCATTAGCACAAAAACATTTTGAACAGCTGAAACTTCCAGGTAGTATCGAGACAAACGGTAACAACTCGCAGAGAAAATTTCAGACCTAAGACTTAAAATTCAAGAAAATAACAAGTTTTTTATTATTGTTCTATAACTATGTAACTAAGTGGCAGTCGCTTACACGATGTTTTACTCGGACTTTTCTTCGAGAACATGATGTAATCAAGATCAGGGAAACTACGAGCTGTAGTCCTTCTAATACTCATAAATTCCTCGTCCTCAAACTTTTTGCGTATTCCTACTTGTCACAAAGTTAAACATTCTTCATTTTGGTTTTTGCTTACAGTACATTGCTTACATGTACTTCAAAATTATGCACAGTTACATGCTTTATGGGTTCACTCATGTAACCTGCAGGGCTCTATCTCAAAGCACATTAATTCTCTTGTTACATGCGAACAGAGAAAGTTCCATAGCTCCATTTTATTTCCACGGACAAGGCGAAAAGGTGGAAATTGTCCTTTGTTTTGGTAGACTAGTAAAATTGCATTTTATATCAGAAAAACACGTTTAAAGTCAACCTCTGATACATGAAAAGAAAGGCGCTACTTTGTTTGATAAATATCTAGAATATTCAACAATAAACCTTCATCGGTCAACACTGTCTTTACATTTAATCCAATAGCTCAGTACAAAATAGATGCGCATCCGCAAGTGAAATCCCTCCAAAGGAATTTTTAATCTGAGACCGCCAAAAACACGCTACACTCACACGTGGGATGTCAGCAAGTTGCTTGATTTTATCAAATCACTCGATGATAAGCAATATATGTCACTAAAAATGCTGACATTCAAATTGGCCACATTAATAATTCTATGCAATGTATTCAGAGCTGGAACCAGGCTGGTAGGGACCGCTATTTCATCGGTTGACACTTTTGAAGCATCGCTCTTTTACCCTATTTTTCGTCAAAAAATCAAAATTTCACGTCTTTTTCAGTCAGAATAGATAAGACGATGCTCAAGACAGATATTAGTTTCATCACTTGTTTCAAGGTCAAATATTATAGATTCGTTATTATGAAGGTTCTCTCACATGTGCTCGCAAACTATTTAATTTCTAGGGGGAAATATTTCTTAAAATTGATTTTCAAAAAACTTCGCCAGGTTTTCACCGGTTTGAGTTATAATTCCAACTGGTCCGTTTACCGGCCGAGTTTACCTTTTCTCAACCGGTTCCAGCTCTCAATGCATCCCGCAGTTCTGAAATTTAGAAACTGTTTTAATATAGCTAAGCTAGTTATTATTTGAGGGAAAAACCGTATTCTATCTCGATGAATTAACGAAAACATAAAGTATGAACAAGTTAATGTTTTACAAATACATTGCATCAGTTAATCGCATTGTTTTTATCTATTTACAAATATACACATACAAACACAGACAAAAGAAAAAGTACTACAACAAAAAAAGGCTTTTTTTGATATATTTTCAAATCAGGAAACTATCGATGCTTAGTAATCACATCTGACAACAAAATGAGAGGAATTCTTGCATCAAAATGTTATACAATAATTAAACCATTTTGTACCAGATTCTCTTTTATTTCTAATGGTTCAGAATTCACTGACTTTTGGCTGTCATCATCAGCACCAGATCGTTGAGAATGACTATAATATGAAAAAGCAGAAGAAAAAGTTAGACATCAAGACCATAGTTCCGTTTCTCTCTCACTTGTCTAAATCATAATTCTTTATATATACACGACCACGAAATGCTGCCAAATGTGCATAATAAACCGGTGCTGGTATGCTAACACTTCTTGTTGCACGTGCATATGTATGACATAATTTATATGTTAACATTTGTATTTTATCGAAATTAAAATTATTTTCGTCAAAAATAACGTAGTAGTGTGTTGGACGAGATGTACCCTAATAATAAAAATAACAAGACTAAAATAATTAATATCAAACTGTTTTATGTTTGACATACTTGTATACCAAAATGACTGCATAGATAAAAATCAAAATTAGATGGTGTTGTTATATATTGATCAACACATGTACCGGGAGGAATATTTTTCGATCGACCACATTCCTATGAAAAAATAAATAAAAAAAAATTAGAAAACACAAGTAGTTGTCGTTGCTGAAAGTTTTATCGTACATCGATTGAATTAACAGGAAATAATCTAGTATGATGTCGTTTTTGTACAATAATCACTGTTATTTTTGGTCGATAACTTCGATCAACATCTTGACATGCTTGTTGCATTAGTAACAATTCAGTACGTAATACCTACAAATAACAGCAGATATTATAAGAGTTTCGACATATAGAGAAACAATATACTCACAATATTAAATTGTCCTTCTGACACACCATCACGATAAAAAATTATAATACTTGGTAAACTTTTATTTTTTGCTCGATAGCATTTGAGACAGTTGGCAAACATCAATCTTAAATTTACAATCATTTCTAAACTTTTTCCACCTTTTGGATGCTTTTGTAAACATATTTCTACATAATAATGTGCCGGATACGAATCAGTTGATGCCACAATCTAAACAGAAAGAGTATTAAAATTGATTGAGACGAAAGTTGTACACTTTTTATACTAAACTTACAGCAGCCACTGAATAATTATCACTACTTGCTGCATGTGATACGTCAGCACCAACAATCATGATACCACCCTGTGATTTGTCAAATGGAAATATCGAACTAAAGAAAAATATATTAAAGATACTTTTATAACAAATTCTTTACTTTTTTACCTTATTGAACTGTTAATACCACCTAATTTTGGATTTATTTTGAGAAAAATATTGGCCATTGTTTGTGGATTTTTTTTTGTGACATTTATCTTCTGTATACATTGTGTAACAATACCAAATTTTTGATCACATAAACGTTTGATCGTACCTGAACATCATATGAACTATTTTAAACTAAAGCGAAATGAAATCATTCTACTTACCATAGGGTTCTGAACTTTTTCTATTTATTATACACAATATTAATTGCAAAGATTGATTATTTCGTTTTACTAATGATGTTAATGCATTTTCAACATTTCTTAGATTAGTATCATTTGGACATGATTCATAATCGACCCATTCAGCATTGGTAATATTAAGACCTAATTTCTTTGCCATATTCATCATTTGACAAAAGTAATCATATACTTCTTGCTCATACATATGTGTCAAATTCAAAACAGCCCAATTACGAATCACTGCTGGTGAATAAAATGTGAAATTTTCCATATTCCATTCACCACGGCGCACGATGTTAGTACCAGACAAACGTCTGTTGGCACCATAATTAATATCTGGTGACGGTAATACACGACCTTCAATTTTCGGAGTGTCTGTCGTTGTTAAACCTACTTGCCATTTCTTCAAAAATGGATCATTAACATACGAAGCTGATTTCACTTTATTTAGAATCATTTCACGACGTTCAGGTGCACTAACGGCTGTATGACGAATAATTTGTGATGTAATATCTGGATCTAATTTTTTAACCACTGGTTGTCGAACAATTATACACAATTCGATTGGTAGAGCATTATTTTTTCGTGTTATTATACATGGTAGATAACTAATAACAAAGAAATATATCATTTTTTTTTTGAGTGTGGATGTGATGGTGTGTACAACTCACTTTAATTGTACTTTTGGATGCGTGCGTTTAAAATAGTCGCGAACACTAATTAGTTGTTTTTGTCCATTTGTCAATGTGAGAGAAAATTTTTCTAAATCAGGTGTTTCACCAAGTTTTAAAATCCAATCCGATTTCTCATAACCCAAATATTGTGTGATAATTTTTAAACCTAAAGAAAACAGAAATTCAAGATGTACAGTAAAAAGAACTGTACTTTATTTCATATAATACCCTTTAATTTCTGTTCAATATTATGTTTGTTGTCTCGTAAACATTGTTCAATATCAAACGGCTGTTGTCTTTGTTCTCCACCATGGTATGCTCCACGTCCACGATAACCACCACCACCTCGCCCTCTACCTGAAGAATAACCACTACTACGACTGTCATTTCGAGAAGAGTATGTTTCATAAATAAAATCCAGTACTGTTTGTTGTTTATAGAAAACGGCATTTGATGCTGAAAATAAAAATATAAACAAATCGAAATAATAAACAGACGAAATAATGCTGTTTACTTACTGTCAACATTTAATGCTAATTGTTTTCCAGAATAACGAAATGTCTGAAAAAAGCCACGCCACAACTCTTGTCCGTTGGTCAAATCAGCAACACGATTTCCATTAGTATTTAAATCAAAATAAGAACGATTTAATGGTGTAAAACTAAACAAAAAAAAGGGAGTATGTTTTTCTACTGTTGTGTTTTCTAACATTCATATTACTTGAATTCTAATCGTCCCTGTCTGAATAAAATATCCATTATCTGAAATTGATCCTGTACATCATGAACAGTCAATGATGAATGACCGCTAGCATATTCCTGAAGCAACGACATGTTAATGTTTGAACGAACCAATTTTAATTGAACAATGAACGTTTCTCGAACATTTCGATTATTCATAACATCAACTTGAAAATCCGATGGCTAAAACAAAACAAAAAGATGAACCTAAACTGAACAGAAAAATGCATAACTCACTTACATTTTCATCAATATTTTCCAATTTTTCACACGTGTAAATATTTTGTTTTCCATCAAAGATAATTCCATACAGTTGACTGCGATTTGCACCTGACTCAGTATTTGTTGCTTGTGACACATAGTCATTTCGCCATTGCACAAATACACGTCTAAAAAGAGGAAAAAGATCCTTAAACGAAAAAGATCATTAGATAAATAACTCACTGTCCTATGTCTTTAGGTATTCGAACAACTCGATCTTGTTTTAGTTTTTTGTCTAATAACTTTTCCCGCTGTAGTTTTGATTTGATATCAATATCATAATGGTAACATCTCAATTTTGATGATAGTATTGCTGGAAAATGGTTAACATAGAGTGAAATAGGTTGACCAATTATTCCCGGTGAGGACGGACGTAAAGCAACAATATGATCGTCAATACTAATTAATGATGATTTTGGTACGACCGACTTTTGTTCAATCAATGGTGTGTTATCAAATTGTTCAATAATATCATTCATCATTGCACATGCTGTAGTAGGTTGTTGATCTCTAGTCAAGGTTGTTTTAGTACGTACATTCTCACTAATGTCGATCATTTCCGATCTTGTTGCTTCAAAAGATGATGTTGCTGTTGAAGTTGCACTTGAAGCCAAAACCGGAAAGTCATCATTTTCGGCAACAAGACCACTTTGATTATGTGTGTCATTTTCTTCGCCTGTAGCTGATTCTTGACTTTTTTTCTTGCTCTTTTTGTCTAAACACATAAAGAAAGATATAGTACGTCTGGAATATAATGTTCCTCCTTATAAAAAAAAAGACTGCCTGTGTACTAGGCAAAAAATCTGACGGCAGGCTTGCGCAGGTGTGCAGGGAATATTGTGGCAAATCTGAGCAGCCCTCTGTCGCTCACCACTGCGGTATTCAGAACCAGGCGTCAGCAGGCTTTTATTATAGGGGCTCTGATCTTACTTTTTTTTGGCATTGTTTTATGCGAAAGTTATCAAGTTTAATATTGATTTGCGGATGATAGTTAGTATAAATGTGTTTTGGTTTAAGAAGAAATAGAAAATGAGGTATTGACATGTTAAAGTTAAAGATATTTAAAGACAGAAAAGAGAAAAACACTAAATGGGAATCACAACTGTAACGGGAATTCCCACTCTTTCTTATCATTAAGAAAAAAAGAGAATCATAAACCTATTTTTCAAGTAAACGAAAAGTACCCAATTAAAACGATTAATATTACCTCTTCGCAGTGTCTCCTTTTGTAGATTTGTGAGTTGAAAATTTCTCACTGTATAGCGAGATGGAATCTCCGTCCGGTCGATCTGGGGCCTGTTTCTTAAAAAAACTTAAGTCAAAGATTGCACTTAAGTCAAAAAAGTTCTTTGTTTTTTTGACTTAAGTTCAATGTTTGACTTAATATAAGTTTTTTTAAGAAACAGGCCCCAGGCCCCTGATCGTACAAGATCGAATACGATCAGGTGCGATTGTATTATATGATCGTACACAAACTGGTATGATCTCGAGATTTATACGATTATTCAAGTGAATAATCGTACAAATTCATACATACGAAGTGCTACAATCGACGACCGAATCGCGGTCCCTAAAAAATCACTGGGCCTAGACTACACATTTCGTACCACAACCGTACGCACCATATTACACGATCTTATATGATTCTGTGAGATTTTAAGTACGAATGACATATGATGCAGACTGTTTTTTGCTGGTTTCTCTCGCTACCCACGGAGAAATTTTTTGAATAAAACCGCGGTTAGCCGCACTATAAAAACTCGCGGCTTTTGCCGGTTTAATACACTGCGGGAGGGAGTCAGATCGTTTATTAGGTTTTTACAAACCGGTCGAAGTTGCGGTTTCGACCGTCTTTTTTTACAAAAACAATCTTCTTGATATTATCGCCGGTATGTGTTCGTTTTCCGTCGTTCTCTTTTTCGTCATTTTACATTTGTTTCTATAGCTCTGACCGCGGATGCCTCTTTTCTTACCACTGCATCCAAACGCCGCGGTTGTTACTTCTATTGCACTGCGGTGATCCTGTAACGCTGTTAGGCTACCTAAAACCACTAATCTTTCATAAGCATTGTATGAGATTCGAACTCCTTACCTTTGATTTGCTTGTCCAATATGTTTCCATTGAGCCATCTCGAGTTGTTTATATAATGATCAAAACTGATCTTATATCTTACCGATCTAAGTATTTTAAGTACACAGATGTGGGAGATAACCAGGGATACCAGATCCAAAGCAAGAAAGTCAGAAAGACCTCAGAAAAAGAAGTTCAAAATCAGAAAATCAATAGACCTTTGAGAAAAAACGAGCAAAAATGAGGCATAAAAAGTTCCAAAAAATAGATAAAAATACGGTTCCGATATTGCGGTTTGCTAATACAAACCACACTGTCCAGCCAGGTAGAGAACGCGACATCATCGAACCGCAGTTTTATTGACGGAAACCTTGGTCTCAAAATCATTAAAAAGCATGGTGAATATAAATCGAAGCTTAAATCACAAACATCGTGGCTTCAGAAACCGGTACGCTGGGTGGTATTCACAGACCGACGTTTAAACCAACTTTACCGAGGTATATAAAACCGTAAAAAAGCTCAGTTTCAGACACCACGGTTCATTCTCACCAAACTGCATCCATTTGAAACCGCTGTTTTCGCCGGTGGCGCCAACGCAACTCGATGCGATGGAAAGGCGGCTTCTCAAAACCGTGGTTTTTTCATCGGCTTTTCAAACTGCAGTTTGGATCGAAGACATGGTGGTTTGTGCTTACCGCAGTTAACCGCGTTTTTCGGAATCACACCGCGGTTGATTACACAGAAACCGCGTTGAGACAAAAAAAATTGCGGTTAACCGCGGTTTTATTCGAAAAAATTTTTCGTGGCCAATCTGCTTGGGCTTTTCTTGCACGTTTTTGGCGCATATCAAACTTCTCACTTCGTTTCTTTTTCATGTCTTTTAATCATGTATGAGAGGTATAAAAGTCTTAGAAAAAGAGTCGCTAGGTTGTAAAAAAACTATACAAATATTTCAATTCATTTGGTAAATCACATCAAGTCAGGACAAAAAGGTTTAAAAATAAAAATTACGTAAATCTTTTAAGAAGAAAAATTTACAGAGCATTACAAAAGAAAATGTGGATTGAGATAAAAAAATGTGTCTATTTCGTGGGCTTCGCCTTCGTTTTTCAGCAACACAATTTCATCGGGTGAAAGTTTCGAACTGACACAAAATAGACTTTTCATCGATGTTTCTTACACTCCTCTTCTGTTTCTGTTTTTGAAAGTTTTATCCATTATTGTCACAAATTATTGAGAGCCGTAAAAAGAGATGCAGTCCTTTCAAAAGTAAATCTGAAAAAATGTATTTTCTCTTATTACTTCGCTGTGACCCTCGTAGCTCTGACTCATCCCAACCCCACTTTTGAAAGTACGCTTACGCGAAGCTTAGAGCGCAAATCTTGTCATCAAACTATTATAACCCCTCCCTATAGACATAGCGCTCAAGTTAAAAACACACTAAAAGTAGAGGGAAAAGCTTGCTTCTCGAGTGCAGAGCAATCTCAAGTGCTTGACGCGCATGCGGAATGGCCTCATCGTAACGTTACAGTCATCTGGTAACCAACAGGTAGGCAATATCAGTATGCGTGCCGCTCAGGCTTTGATGGTTGGGTGCACTTTCTGTAAATCATAACTTGTTTTTTTCTTTGACTATTTTACGATTAACTAATAGCTTAGAACAATTTTCACGTTATAAAAGCGTGCAAGAACAAGCCATGCATTACTATATCATTGAATACGCTGCGTCATATACGCCACAAAAAGCTTTACCATTCTCAACAGAGGATATTACACACTTACGAATAACCTCCTAAATGAAACTCATCAAACGTACTATGTGAGATTTTGAACGACATATGCCTCTTCAATAGAGTTCACGGAGCTTAGTCGGACAGTGTACATTACATAACAGATCACATAAGTTGATGAACTAGATAGGAATTTCGTAAAAATTGTATATACTTTGGGTATTTAACAAACTATTAAAATGTATCGCAAGAGAACTTCGATAGTGAGAATTAATTTTTATTAATTATTAAATTATTCGTCTACGTTAAAGCGACTAGTTTTATCTATCGCTTCTAGGTTTAAGTAGTATACGAGCACATACTAACAATTTGAATAGCGAATAAATTCTCGGATTTCCATCTGCGTACGCTAAAGTTGAACACTTTCTTTCGAATTCGAAATACAATTTCATTTTCAATTATCTTCTTCGCTGTTTTTACTTTTCACGAAGATAAAATTTTCCCAAATATCTTTAATAGACAAAGCAAAGATACTAAAACAATTTATACAATAGAAAAAAGAAGTCAAAGAAATGTCTTTTCTTGAAGAATTTTAACTTGTCGTTGTAATTCGGCTATTTTTTGTTTTGGTCGAGTATTATTTGAACGTGTTCGACGATTATTAAACCATGTTGAAACCTTTTTTAACGAAACACCACATTGTTCGGCTAGTTCTGATTTTTGATCACTCGTTGGATAGGGTTTTTCAATATGCGAATAATACCACGAATTTAATATACTTACGGCATCCTCCGATAAATAATTAGATGTGTGAACATTTGAAGTCTAAAATCACAAACAGGATATCATTCCATTAGTGTTTCAATCTTCCGAAACGAATCAAATATTTTTTACATACCGTAAAAGAAATATTGGCAGTATTGTCTGATGTATCAGATAGCGTTTCTGATGAGTTCGTTTCAATAATAGAAGCCTAGAACGCGAAGAAAGGTAGTTTGATGACTAGTCGTAAAAAAATTTTAGGATTGCTAATTTTCTCATATTTCCTTGAATTAACCTACTTTACCTTACTACCATCTAGCATTTTCTTTCTCAGTTTCCAACAATTTTCATCTCTTACTATTCCTAAAAAGAGCTGTATTTCCAAACTAGCACTTGTTTTTTCTTGTTCTCAGAGATCCTTCTACACATATCACATTAAACCCATCTGCTGATTACACATTACGGAAAAATATATTGACCACCCTTCAACGACTTATTACATTATGTAATTTACATACCTTCACTACATCATGAGTAGAAATGCGTGTACGTTGACGCTTCGACGCTTTTTTGGCTGACATTTGAGGAGTGCTTGTACGTGGAGTGGATTGAGACGGTGTGCACGATGATGAATAAGAATGATTGAAATCATGAAATTGAAATGGATTGAATATGTGAAGTGATGGAAAAGGATGTATCCCAAAAGGAGCTAAAAAGCCAAAACAAATAAAAATAAATAAAGGACAAACTCCAGAGATCATTGTCGAATCGTTTTATATTCTTTTCTGTCTGTGGTCTTCCTTAAAAAAACATACTTGTAACTTGACTTGTATTTAAAAATGAGCATTGAGTTGATGTATCTGATGTAGAGCAGAGACTCGATGAGATTGTATTGAATTGCGGCGAAGCATGATTATACGATAATTGTTGATCTGAATAATGTGAACTTTGATAACCGGAGTCCCACGATAAGTGTTGGGAAGTCGAAATAAAAGAGGGGTGGAAGAAAGTGAAATTTGGATCCATGTTACGATTTGATGAGTGAGAAAGTTGAAATTTTGGTTTATGCAAGAAAATGAGAAAATCTTGTATTTATATTTAATAAAGAGTTTATGTTTTCTCATCATTGAAACATGAATATTCAAACAGTTTAACAATGTGATTGAAGAAATAATACTGATTGTATTTGCAATTAAAGAAGGGAAAACGGAAAATACACAAACTGTTTACTGAAGCTCATCAGCTTGTTTTTGTGCTAATTAAAACCGAATAAAGGTTTTCTAGTAATTTCAGCAAGATGAGAATTTCTACTCAGAATCGTTCTTAACAACAACAGACAGTTTTAGCTCCCGCTTTTCTCTTTTTTATTGACTATTTGTCATGAAACATAATATGTAAATGATAAAAGCAATTTGCATAAGTAACTAGCACACAACTGTGGTATGACAATTAAAACTCTCCAGTTGAATAGATTAGATGACAATTTCTGTAATTTAGAATATCTGCTCTAAATATGCCTTAGATAGCAGCCCAAGATTTTTTCTTCATGTCGTTTTGGATGAATATTACACTGAGATTTTGTTTTTTACCATTGTATAGTCTCTTCTTTATTTGACTTAATTTTTCAAGCAAACTGTTGAATATTGTTTGAAAAATATTAAAAACACGTCGAAAAATCATGTATCTGATACTAGATTTTTGAGGAGAATGCCATTCGGGTAATGGCCAAATTATATTATCTTGAGATTTTCTAGAGCAACTAATCATCATTGAGTCAAAAGCCTATAAGCTGTAACAAAGAATGCGGTCAGTCTTATCCTATAACAAATTAATCGATTCCACGTATGATGTGGTGCACAAATTATGGTTGGCATTGAGACCTTACTCTCCTCAGAAAAGGCCTCCAATCCGTTGGATACAGTTTTCATTTGAAAAACTTACTCAATATTTAAGAAAAGTAATAGATCGTCAGTCAAAGTAAAGTGAGTCTAGTATAGCATAAAAGTTAATTATTTTCTCTAAAATAAAGTTGAAATGCATAAATCAAGTTTGTAACTAGTTTGACGGGTAAATGATATTTAGAGCATTATATTCGACAGTTTTAATCTTAATCACACCGGTGATTCCTCTCCCTAATACTAGCCCATTCATATTTCGCAAAGCTGTTAGCCACAACGCAGAGTGAATTATGATACAATTTTTAAGAAGCCGGGATTCTTTGTTTTTGTTGACATTTAGTTTTGAAATAATGGAAATAGTTTTGTAAAAGCTGATGAAAATACTACCATTAATAAAGTTCTTTCTCCCAAGGCATTCTCAACAGTGAAAGAAAATACGCGCTTAACTTGTAAAAAATAGTTATATTATTTTACGGTATTAAAAGAGTTCGCATAGAAAAGATATTGATATATTTTCTAAACACAGCATCAATCCATGTTTCTATGGTAGTAACAGGTGCGCCATTGTTTGTCTTAAAGTATCAGATATTATGTTGTTTGTAAACTGAACTGATGTTCATGAAATATTAAGTATTCCTTATTCTATTTTTCTCCCGTGACTCTTCCTTCCATTCCTCCGTCGATCATTAACACTTGACCTGTTGTATGACCACTAGTCATTCGATCGGCTAAATGTAAACATTGTCGTGCAATATCTTGTGTTGTCGCTATTTTTTTCATGGGCATCGTTTTCAATGTTTTCAAATGTTTTCCATCTTTTAACGATTGTTTAGCCATTGGTGTTTCAACCCAACCAGGTGCCACCACGTTACATCGTGCATAGGGGAATATTTCAACAATTTCATTTTTCAATGATTTGATAAAACCTGATTGAAGAGCACCTTTGGCTGTTGAATAATCAATGTGTTTGGCTTCACCAAATTTTCCCGCTGTACTTCCAATCAGTATTAAACTAGCATTAAATGCTTCTAGTTTATCGTTGGTGAGCCAATGTATGTGCTCTTGTTTGTACTTCACCAATTGTTTACACCATTCTCTGGTATAGAGAAAATAGGATGTTAAATCAAGGTTTATAATACGATTCCATTGTTCTAACGACATTTCCCATATTGGCACATCTTCAGCACCAAATACGGCATGATTAATGATAGCCACATTGATAACACCAAATTTAGAGTAAGTTTGCTCGATACCATAAATGATCGCTTGTTCATCTTCAGCGTTGACGGAAAAAGTAAACGTATTATTTGGATACTGTTCAACTAACGGTTCTAAAGTATCAAATGATTTGTTATAATGTAATGAGACATTAGCACCATGTTCTAACAGTAATTTTGCAACTTCTAAACCGATTCCACCAGCCGAACCTGTCACCAACACATGTTGACCGTGTAAATCAACCATTGTGTAACTTAGTTCACGTACTATACTCTCTTTCTACAGCAAAAAATCTTTTATCTACAAAACAAACATTGCATACATACAGTGATAAATGAAGAAGCGAAAATATACCTTCAAAGAAAGTCAGATCAATATTGGGATGTCATTATAGAAAGTGTTTGAGTTTCGTAAGGAATCGGAATATGTAACATATTTAGATTAAAAATCTGATGTGAATCCGCATACATCACCTTTGCTTTGCTGTTGAGCATGTGATAAATCCAAGCCATAGATATATACGCAAACACCAGCAATAATCAATAACAAAATGAAGTTTTGTTGCATCCTAAATCAGGTTTGAATACGTAAACGCTAACATTTGTGCTATTTTGTGAATGGATCATGATCATGATGTTAACTTTTTTTCTTACAAATTCTCACCTGCACCCTGATTTAGTGCTTGGAAGAAGTTCAGAGTTATGAAATTGCTTTCAATCAAGGCTATATGTACCCAACAAAACTGTGCATCTGCTCAAGTTCCCCA